GGATGAGGACAACCCACAATGAGATACCAAATGGCATTTTAGCTGTAAACTAAACATATTCTGCAGCCTAATAAAGTAACAGAAAAATGGAAGTGAGACTTTCAGAAATAAACTTTACTTTCCACAATATAAAAAAGTGTAATATTTCCCTAATCTTTGCATCAATTTTAAGCTAGGACAGAAAGAGAAAGCTCAAAGTCATATTTAAAAAGTGAGACCTAAGATTTATATCTAGAATGTTTTATGAAATATACTGTGAACAAAACAACAAAATGTGTATACCTCTGTTAACAGTGATTTTATTTCCTGTATTTAAAATTAAGCATTTATCAACAATTTAATGCAGCAAAGTAATTACATGGTTCACTGGGACGCGACACAACACCTTTAAAGAATACTAACTTTCATTCATTTTATCATTAGGCTCCAATGTCCAGATTAAAGTTCCTTTAGTTATCTTCCATGTATCTATATGTACATTATCCCCCAGAAAGGTTCCATCCTACTTCAGTCTAGTGAGTTACAATCTTCTCTTGGGGTGCACACATGTGTATACAGTATATGTGGACATATATGTGCACTTATAGTCCCTATGCTAAGACTAAGAATTCTAAGAACATGCAAAAAGAAAGGCAAAGTATAAAAAAGAGAGAAGAAATGAAAATCTTCTTGAATGAGCAAATAAAATGAATAGAACCAGTGGGACAAAACTAATAGCATATAATAAGCTGCTTGACATAAAATACTAGGTATCAGAGGTATATTTTAGGCACTGGAAAAGCAATTTAGTTAAACCAGTAACAACCCCAATTTAAATTTATTACTCTTTTGTTCTCAAGTAAATGAAACTATGAGTCAGTCAAGCTTCCATTTGAAAATAACATTCAAAAAAATCTTTGTGAGCATCCTAGAATCAGTAATAAAACCTACTCTACTTATATCTAGATAAAACATTGATTTACAATACACCAAAACTTAGAAAAGGTGACCCAGATATATGAGTAAAAAAATTTAAAATTTTTATGTCATTGTTTAAATTGTTTAAAAATTTTATGTCATTGTTAAAATTTCAATGTCACTGTTTCCTGGAAGTAATCACAGTTTAAGGGGGAAATGGGGACCATAAGGGGTGTACAGGCTGGGGGAGAGATTCTCATTATTTCCAAATATGGAGACCTAAAACTATTCACATACAAATCATCACTGGAACTTTGAACTCAATCCTTAAAATCTGACCAGTGAATACAGTCCTAGACTTCAAGCACCAAAAGAGAAGTGTTAGCTTGTTGCAAGGTCTAGAGACACACTGAAAAACAAAGGTGGCACCCTGTACACTCTAGAGCAAAAACCACTCTGGTCTAGCATACCTAAACGAAATCCTAAATATATACATGGCTTTCATTTAAACTGCTTTCTTCTCAGACAGCAAAAAAGAATATGCAAGGTATTCAGAACCTCTTCATACCATGTATCTGGACTCATTAGGTACAGTTATCTTACTTCAGACATATCAGACAGATGGGATTTAAAAGCTACAGTTTTTGGATCTTTTACCGTTTGATTTTTCTGGTCATCCCATCAAAAATGTGGGCCAGGCAGTGGCTCACACCTGTAATCCAGACGCATTGAGAGGCCATGATGTGAGGATTGCTTGAAGCCAGGAATTTAAGACCAGCCTAGGCAACCTTTGTTGCCCAGATCCTGTCTCTACACAAAAATAAGTTTAAAAAAAAAAAAAAAGGGCAGGGGGAAGAGTAGATATATATACACACATACAACACATACATATACCCACATAAACACATGCATATTCTCCAAATATCAGAAAATTAATAAAACACTCTGAACTATATCACGTCTCCTCTCCTCAAACTAATCAGCAACCTTGACCCTAATACGTCAGGTACTTTGCCAAACTCTGATACTAAATAACTAACCTAACCCTTGCCTTCACCATCCACATCTATTCACATCATTTTAAAATCATTTTTCTATACAGATGTAAGATGAGTCAACATTTAACAGTTTAATTTCTTTTATCCATCTGTAATTTCCAACAGGTTAAGCATCACGTGCAATTGTTCCTGAGTATTCTTAAACACTTAAAAGCACAGCCAAATATACTACCATTTTTTGAAAGCATATTAGAAACATAAGCTCAAGGATAACCAGGAGCATAATTTAAGTTTCTTTTGGGCCAGGCACATTGGCTCCCGCCTGTAATCCCAGCACTTTTGGAGGCAAAGGCAGGAGGATCACCTGAGGTGAGGAGTTCCAGACCATCCTGGCCAACATGGCAAAACCCCATCTCTACTCAAAATATAAAAATTAGCCAGGCATAGGGGCACATGCCTGTAATCCCAGCTACTCAGGAGGCTGAGGCAGGAGAACTGCTTCAACCCAGGAGGCCAAGGTTGCAGTGAGCTGAGACTGCGCCATTGGACTCCAGCCTGGGCAAACAGAGTCAAACTCCAACTCAAAGAAAAAAAAGGAAAAAAAAAGTTTTTTGACCATCAGGAATCAAATCAAATCAGGCTAAAGATGAACGCATACTTACTAATGAAATAAGGTTATGAAATTAACTACCAATTCATTATGAGTATGATAAACCCAGTTTAAAATGCTTTATAATTGTGCCATAATCAACAAAAGAAAAATAATTTTGTGATACATACAAAGAACACTTTTAATAAAACTAAGTTTTAAAATCAGCAATAAATGACTTTGCAAAATTTAATCATTTTTTTTTATCTACACAAAAATATATTTAGATTGCCAAAACCATTTATGTGATCAAACATTTCTCTGTCTTCTGCAAGGCATAATAAATAAATATAGAGGGAAATCCTTTTTCCTGGAGAAGGATCCAAGATGGCCAAATAGGAACAGCTCCAGAGTGCAGTTCCCAGCAAGAACAACGCAGACAGCAAGTGCTCACTGCATTTCCAAGCAAATTTTCACTGCCCACAGATCAGGAGATTCCCAGGCCAAAAAGTGTCACAAGTTTTCAGCACGGCTGATGCCACAGGTTGGCACACGGAAACTTACACAAATCTAGGCAGCCCTTTCAACTGGCCCCTGGAATGCATGGGAGACAGAGCCACCCATTCAACTGAAAGGGAGGGGGCTGAGACAGGGAGCCAGGAGATCTGGCTTGGCAGGTACCACCCCCACAAAACAAGCAATCCAAAACGCTCTGGATTGAGAGTTTCACACCAAGTGCAGTTGGACCCAGGATGGTCCAGCTCAGTGGGAGCAAGGGCGTCCACCACTACCGAGGCAGTCCACCAATATTGAAGCAGTCCACGCAGCAGCTGGGCAGAGGTTGCAGCAGCTCAGCAATGCCTCTTTTGGCAGACTGTGACTAGAATACTCCGTGCGGGGCAGGACATCTCTGAAAAAAGGCAGCAGCACATCAGGAACTTACAAATAAAGCCAACCTTCCTAGGTCAGAGCACCTGGGAAAAGAGGTGGTTATATGATCTGCTGCAGCAGACTTAAATTTACCTGCCCAGAGCTCCCAGCACAGCACTTGAGCTCCTATAAGGGTCAGACTGTCTCCTCAAGCAGCTCCCTGACCCCATATACCCAAAGAGACATCTCATAAAGGAGAGCTCAGGCTAACATCTGGCAGGTACCCTTCTGGGATGAAGATAACAGAAGAACAAACCAGCAGCAACCCTTATTGTTCTGCAGCCCCCATGGGTGACCCCCAGGCAAGCAGGGTCTAGAGGGGACTTCCAGCAGTCCTGCAGCAGAGGGGCCTGACTGTTATAAGGAAAACAAAGAAACAGAAACAAATAGCTTCAACATAAACAAAAAGGACGTTCACTCAGAGACCCCATCCAAAAGTCACCAACTACAAAGACCACAGGTATATAAAGCCACTAAGATGGGAAGAAACCAGTGCAAAAAGGATGAAAACGCCAAAAACTAGAACACCTCTCCTCCTCCAAGGGATCACAACTCCTCACCAGCAAGGGATCAAAGATGGATGGAGAATGAATCCGATGAATTGACAGAAACAGGCTTTAGAAGGTGGGTAATAACAAACTTCTCTGAGCTAAAAGAACATGTTCTAACCCAATGCAAAGAAACTAAGAACCTTGAAAAAAGCTTTGATGAAATGCTAAGGAGAATAAACAGCTTAGAGAATATAAATGACCTGATGGAGCTGAAAAACACAAGAGAACTTCACAAAGCATACACAAGTTTCAATACCTGAATTGACCACGCAGAAGAAAGGATATCAGAGACTGAAGATCAACTCAATGAATTACAATGAGAAGGCAAGATTAGAGAAAAAAGAGTGAAAAGAAATGAACAAAGCCTCGAAGAAATATGGGATTATGTGAAAATACCTAATCTACGTTTGACAGGTGTACCTGAATGTGATGGAGAGAATGAATCCAAGCTGGAAAACACTCTTCAGGATATTATCCAGGAGAACTTCCCCAACCTAGCAAGGCAGGCCAACATTCAACTCAAGGAAATACAGAGACCACCACAAAGATATTCCTCAAGAAGAACAGCCCCAAGGCACGTAATTGTCAGACTCACCAGGGTTGAAATGAAGGAAAAAATGCTAAGGGCAGTCAGAGAAAACGGTCGGGTTACCCACAAAGGGAAGCCCATCAGACTCACAGAGGATCTCTCGGCAGAAATCCTACAAGCCAGAAGAGAGTGGGGGCCAATATTCAACACTCTTAAAGAAAAGAACTTTCAACCTAGAATTTCATATCAAGCCAAACTAAGCTTCATAAGTGAAGGAGAAATAAAATCCTTTACAGACAAGCAATTGCTGAGAGATTTCGTCATCACCAGGCCTGCCTTACAAGAGCTCCTGAAAGAAGCACTAAACATAGAAAGGAACAACCAGTACCAGCCACTCCAAAAACATACCAAATGCTAAAGACCATTGACGCCATGAAGAAAATGTGTCAACTAATGGCAAAACATCCAGCTAGCATCAAAATGGCAGGATCAAATTCCCACATAACAATATTAACCTTAAATGTTAATGGGCTAAATGCCCCAAGCAAAAGACACAGGCTGGCAAACTGGATAAAAAGTCAAGACCCACTGGTGTGCTATATTCAGGAAACCCATCTCACATGCAAGGACACACACAAGCTCAAAATAAAGGGATGGAGGAAGATTTATCAAGCAAATGGAGAGCAAAAAAAGGCAGGAGTTGCAATCCTAGTTTCTGATAAAATGGACTTTAAACCAACAAAGATCAAAAGAGACAATGACATTACATAATGGTAGAAGGATCAATGCATCAAGAAGAGCTAATGATCCTAAATATATACACACCCAATACAAGAGCACCCAGGTACATAAAGCAAGTTCTTAACAACCTACAAAGAGACTTAGACTCCCACACAATAATAGTGGGAGACTTTAACACTCCACTGTCAATATTAGACAGATCAACAAGACAGAAAATTAACAAGGATATCCAGGACTTGAACTCAGATCTGGACCAAAGGGACCTAATAGACATTTATAGAAATCTCCAGCCCAAATCCACAGAATACACATTTTTCTCAGCACTGCATTGCACCTACTCTAAAATTGACCACATAATTGGAAGTAAATCACTCCTCCGCAAATGCAAAAGAACAGAAATCCTAACACTCTCTCAGACCACAGGGTAATCAAATTAGAAATCTGAATTAAGAAACTAAGTCAGAACTACACAACTTCATGGAAAAACCTCCTACTGAATGTTGACTGGATAAACAATGAAATGAAGGCAGAAATAAAGATTTCTTTGAAATCGACAAGAACGAAGACACAATGGACCAGAATCTCTGGGACACATATAATGCAGTGTCTAGAGGAAAATTTATAGCAATAAGTGCACACATGAGAAACAAGGAAAGATCTAAAATCGACATCCTATTGTCAAAATTCAAAGAGCTAGAGAAGCAAGATCAAAAAAACTCAAAAACAAGCAGAAGACAAGAAATAACCAAAATCAGAGTATAACCAAAGGAAACAGAGACACAAAAATCCCTTCAAAAAATCAATAAAACTAGGAGATGGTGTTTTGGAAAGATCAACAAAATAGACTGCTAACAGAAAATAAAAAAGAAAAGGGAGAAGAATCAAATAGATGTAATAAAAAATGAAAAAGGGATATCACCACTGATTCCACAGAAATACAAAGTACCATAAGAGATTACTGAAAACAACTCTATGCACATAAACCAGTAATGTGGAAGAAATTGACAAATTCCTGGACACTTGCACCCTGCCAAGCCTAAACCAGGAAGAAGTCGAAACCCTGAACAGAACAGTAACAAGGACTGAAGTTGAGGCAGCAATTACTAGCCTACCAACCAAAAAAAGTCCAGGTCCAGACGGGCTGACAGCTGAATTCTACCAGACATACAAAGAGGAGCTGGTAACACTCCTGTTGAAACTATTCCAAACAATACAAAAAGAGGGAATCCTTCCCAAATCATTTTATGAGACCAACATCATCCTGATACCAAAACCCGGCAGAGACTCATAAGAAAAGAAAACTTCAGGCCAATATCCATGATGAACATAGATACATAAATCTTCAATAAAATACTGGCAAACTGATTGCAACAGCACATCAAAAAGCTTATCCATCACAATCATGTAGGTTCATCCCAGGATGCAAGGCTTGTTCAACATATGCAAGTCAATAAACATAATCCACCACATAAACAGAACCAAAGACAAAAACCACATGATTATCTCAATTGATGCAGAGAAGGCCTTTGACAAAATTCAACAGCCCTTTATGCTAAAAACTCTCAATAAACTAGGTATCGAAGGAACATATCTCAAAATAATAAAAGCTATTTATGACAAACCTACAGCCAATATCATACTGAATGGGCAAAAACTGGAAGCATTCCCTTTGAAATCCAGCACAAGACAAGGATGCCCTCTCTCACCACTCCTATTCAATACAGTATTGGAAGTTCTAACCAGAGCAATTAGGCAAGAAAAAAAATAAAGAGTATTCAATTAGGAAAGAAGGAAGTCAAATTGTCTCTATCGGCAGATGACATGATTGTATATTTAGAAGACTCTACCATCTCAGCCCAAAATCTCCTGAAACCGATAAGCAACTTCAGCAAAGTCTCAGGATACAAAATCAATGTGGAGAAATCACAAGCATTTCTACACACCAATAACAGACTAACAGAGAGCCAAATCAAGAACAAATTCCCATTCACAACTGATACAAAGAGAATAAAATACCTAGGAATACAACTAACAAAGCATGTAAAGGACCTCTTTAAAAAGAACTACAAACCACTGTTCAGAGAAACAAGAGAGGACACAAACAGATGGAGAAACATACCATGCTCATGATTAGGAAGAATCAATATTGTGAAAATAGCCATACTGCCCAAAGTAATTTACAGATTCAATGCTATCACCATCAAGCTGCCAATGACCTTCTTCACAGAACTGGAAAAAAACACTTTAAACTTCATATGGAACCAAAAGAGAGCCCACATAGACAAGACAATCCTAAGCAAAAAGAATAAAGCTAGAGGCATCATGCTACCTGACTTCAAACTATACTACAAGACTACAGTAATCAAAACAGCATGGTACTGGTACCAAAACAGAGATACAGAAAAAATGGAACAGAACAGAGGCCTTGGAGGCAACACCACACAGTTGGTGGGAGTGTAAACTAGTTGAACCATTGTGAAAGACAGTGTGGCACTTCCTCAAGGACCTAGAAATAGAAATTCCTTTTGACCCAGCAATCCCATTACTGGGTATATACCCAAAGGATTATAAATCGTTCTATTATAAAGACATATGCACAGGTATGTTCATAGCGGCACTGTTTATAATAGCAAAGACCTGGAACCAACCCAAATGCCCATCAACAATAGGCTGGATGAGGAAAATGTGGCACATATACACCATGGAATACTATGCAGCCATAAAAAATGATGAGTTTGTGTCCTTTGTAGGGACATGGATGAATCTAGAAACCATCATTCTCAGCAAACTGACACAAGAACAGAAAATCAAACACCACATGTTCTCACTCATAGGCAGGTGTTGAACAATGAGAACACAGGGACACAGGGAGGGGAGCATCACACACTGGAGTCTGTTGGGGGGGCCAAGGGAGGGACAACGGTGGAGAGGGGAAGGTCAGGGAGGGATAACATGGGGAGAAATGCCAGATGTAGGTGACAGGAGGATGGAGGCAGCAAACTACATTGCCACATGTGTACCTATGCAACAATCCTGCATGATCTGCACATGTACCCCCAGAACCTAAAGTACATTTAAATAAATAAATAAATAAATAAAAATAGACTTCTGTTAAAAACACCTGTTCGCTGATAAGTAAAATTATATCCACATCATAGTTTCAATAAAGATAATAATACTAATCCTTTAATATCTTCAACCTACTTTCTTCCAGTTCATAATCCAATAAACACAGCAAATTACCTGAAAATTTTAATTTTGAAATACACAGTTATTACCTATGAAACCTAAAACATATTATTTAATATCAAGAATAGTATTCTTCATAACATTAAGTACTCCCCAGAATTATATCAAATTTAAAAATATTTTTTAGAAAATAAAAGATAAAGTTATTTTTCCTGAAATGATGTGTTGGCAACTAAATGAACTATAGAAAAGAGAAGGTCACTAAGAGGAAGGTTTCAAGTAGAAATAGTTTATTATACTCACAGATACAGTAACAGAAAAGACAAGAGGGGGCTCATGATTTAAACAGCCCCAAGAAAAAAGAATGAAAAACAGCAAATTCTGAAAGGGCTGCTAAAGAGCTCATGCAGCTAATGAACACATGTGCCACAAAACAACCACCCACACAGTAGGATCTACATTCTCCTAGAAATTTAACGTTATTTCCAAGACTCCACATTTACTTTTGGGTAAAGAGTCCTAATCCTTTGGCATCATAACCACCAGCTACTCTAATATTAATCCTAATTTTTCACTGTCATTCATTCATCAAACTACCAACAAGGAATTTAGCCCTTGAATCACCCTTGTCTTCTTCATGTATGCCACCATACATGTAGACAGTTCACTCAACATCCTAGTGTCCAAGATCCTAAATATTTTCAACTCTACTGACATTCTCTTCCACTCTACCCCTTCAATCTCTACCAACAGACAACTGCTAAACCATTATTTCAAACTACTTCACATCAAACATATTTTCTAATAGATCACTCTCTTACAATATGTCTCCCATCCACCAATAAAAAGGGCATTTGTATCTACCTGCTACAGCTGCAGATCCTTATTTTACCTTTCAAAAATTATTTCACCTACTAGGTAGGACTTGATAGAAACATTTCACAAACATTCTCAAACCCTATCTCCACAAATGCCTCTCTGGGACTACAATTCTCAGCCCTGCAATCCTATGATTAGACATAGGATTGTACATAATCGTATGTGGAATGGTGTTTTAGACTTGGAAAACAAAGATAAGAGTATTAAGAATTTAAGCCCTGAAATGCCATACAAGTGATACACCCTGAGGACTGAACTTATCACAGGAAAACCTATAGACTCCTATCAATTATCCAGTTAAAAAGTCTAATTTTAACAATATACTACTAATGATGATGAGGATATGATCATGATGATGGATGACTTCTCTGAGGCTAGCACCTCCACACTATTAAATAAAGAGAGCAAATTTTTTTTTTTTAATTAGCCAGTTACCCAGCCCTCCATGTTTGGCTAACATGAGAGGGAGAATCAAAAATCAAATTTTTAAAATTATTTTTTTGGATACAGGAACAAGACAAAGATATTCTCTGTCAGCACTCCTTTCAGCATACTACTGGAAGTCCTAGCTAATGAAGTAAGACAAGTAAAAGGTGTAAATATTGGGAAGGAAGAAATAAAATTGTCTTTTTTCACAAATGGCATGATTGCCTATGCAGAAAATATGAAAAGAATAAACAAAAACTCCTGGAGCTAATAAGCAATTATAGCTAGGTTTCAGGATACAAATATACAAAAATCAATCATTTTCCTATACACCAGCAATGGTATATAGAAAAAATATCAATCACTTTCCTATATACCAGGTGAAATTTGAAATTCAAAATACAATATCAAACATAACAAACTATGTATAAAAATCTGTATTAGAAAAACTACAGAATTCCAATGAAAGAAACCAAAGAAGAACTAAATGGAGAGATAGCACATGTTCATAGACAGGAAGACTCAATATTGTCAAGATGTCAGTCTTCCCAATTTGATCAACAGATGCAACACAATCCCAATCAAAATCCCAGCAAGTTATGTTCTGGATACTGTCAAACTGATTTCAAAGGTTGTATGGAGAGGCAAATGATTTAAAATAGCCAGCACAATACTGAAGGAGAAAGTAAGGGCAACAATTGGCACTACCAGATTCAAAACTTACTATTAAGCTACAGTAACCAAGATAGTATAGTATTGGCAAAAGAACAGACAAATAGATCAATGGAGCAGAACAGAACACAGAAATAGATCCACATAAATATAGTCAAATGGTCTTTGACAAAAGAGCAAAGCCAATGAAATGAAGAGGAAATAGTCTTTTCAACAAATGGTGTGGAACAACTGGACCTTCACATGCAAAAAAATAAATTCTGAAGTTGCAAACTTATGATTTGTGTAAATTTCAGTATGTGTTATACATCCCCAAGCAAAAGTTTGCTTAGAAACACTCAAGAAAAAAATGTGCTAATTTAATTTTAGAAAGCATATGCTTTACAGTCTCAAATCTTTGAAAAATATGCTATGCTAAAAATCAGATGTGTGAAATATAGGGCATTCTGAGAAACTATCCAATAATACAAAAAAGAAGAACAATGAAAAGGAAAGTATAAAAGATAAAATATGAAGAAGATTCAAGGACAGCAGCAGAATGGTTAAAAATATATATAGAGAGAGAAGAGAAAATTACATGTTAAGCAAAATTTTTAAGGAAAACTAAATATTATGCAAAGTTTTATTAGGTTAGTATTTCTAAGCAAAATATAATTAAGCAAAATTCAAAGCAAACAAAAGCAAAATAAAATATTTCTGTGTAAACTATGCCTAAGCAAACTGAAAGTTTAAAAAATTCTGTCAACTGATTTTGATAATAAAATTCATAATGAAGAACTGAGTATTAAATGTTTATGTGCTAAAATGTTTAATATATTAGAAAAAAGACAAAATGTAATAGCACTGAAAAATTTTAATATTCCTCTCTTACCTATGACAAAAGTAGAAAATAAAAACATTACGTTTCTAATAACGATGATATATTAGGCCACTAAAAAAAAAAAAAAAACCAGCAAATTCCTAGAAATTATACCAACCACATTCCTTAGTCACCAAACAAACAACAACAAAATTGTTGAATGAAGAAAAATAAATAAATTGAAAACCAAGTGGAAAACCTGATGAACCTTAAATTTTAAAATATTCTGTTAAGCGCCTGTGCAGTCAAGGAAAGGGCCCAAAAATGAACTGAATTTATACAGCCAGTTTTTCTCTAGGGACATCTCCTAATTCTAAACATATGGCAAAACTTAGAAAATCCATATTTTTCCCTAGGCAAAAGGCCACTGCTATGGGAAAAAGAAATAAGTAGAGATTTTGGTGGGGTCAGTAAATTACAGAGTCAAATTTGGGGAGGGATTCAAACATACATCTGGATTTCCCCTCAAGATGACAACAGAATCCTAAAGTTACACAGATATATAGAAAACAAAATTTGAAAGAAAAGATTATGTCCAACATCAATATATTTGAACATTTTAATAACATCAATAATTTTCTAAAAATTACACATTAATAAAGCTGACACATAAAAATGTTAAAACTTGCTAGCTATGTTTTTCAAAGAGTTTCCTCCTTAAAAATATCCTACAAATTATTTTAGAACTGAGTTCATTCAAGCTTTCACAGAACAGTTCACTTCAGTGTAAATAAAGCATTCTCTGTCACAGAAAAATAGGCGGAAATCCCCAATTCACTTTACATAATAAAACCAACAACTACAAAATCATTCTCCATCTACTGTCAACTTCAGACCAATTTCTATCATCCATTCAGTAGTTCCATGCATTTGCAACACAGTAGCAATCTGGCACATTATTTAATCAGAAAAGTGTGTCTGTATCACATAAAAAGAGTGAAAGTTGATAGGATGGCAATTAAAAACAGGTGATCAACCAACAAATACATCAACATTTAAAATACAGTGATTTAATTTTTGACAAAGGTGTCAATGCAATCCAGGAAAAGAAGTCTTTTCAACAAATGGTGCTAGAATAACTAGCAGGGAGGGTGACATGAATCTCAATTCCTACTCCACACTGCTAACAGAAAAATTAATTAGAGATGGATAATATACCCAAAGATAAAAGCTAAGACACAGGCTCTTGGAATAAAACATAAGAGAATATATTTCTGACCTTGGGTTAGGCAAGCAAAGGTTTCTTAAGCAAGACACAAAAAAGCATTATCCATAAAAAAATAATAATTCATAAATCAAGAGTGAATTAATAACTTCTGCTATCAAAAGCCTCAGCTAAGAAAGTGACTGGGCATGGTGGCTCACACCTGTAATCCC